AGGCCAGTGGTTAGCAACATGGACTACACTTCAGTTCTGCCACTTACTTGCTAATTTACGTAAACTACTCTGCAGTGTAAGGATAGGAGCCAAGCTCGCAGGGTTGTTGGGAGGATTAAATAAAGTCACACGTGAAAGGTGCCTAGGACAGAGGACGTACTCAAAGAATATTAACTCCATACAAGACCTCCTTCACCCAGACTCTTCTGTTTTCTTCCAGTCAGTCCCTTCCATCTGTATTTCCTGCCTGTTTCCCCATAGAGTCCCTGATCCATCTGTTGCCAGTATTATACCTCTACTCCCTTGATCCCTCAAACCTATTCTTCCCTCAGACCTTTCTGGCAAATGCTCAGCTCCACACCCACCTAACTTTCTTCATTCCAGCATCTAGGTTGCTAGAAAAAAAAATCATCTGGACAGATGGTTGCTACGGTGACCTCAGATCCTGTGGCCTCAGCTAGACCCGTAATGCTCCCTGGCAACCCTTATGCTCGTCTCCGGTCAGCTGCTTTTCCTGTTCTCCAGAGAAGCAATTTCAAACTTTCATCATATTCCTCCAACTTCCGTTCCTTCCCTCACCAAACCCTCCATTCCTTGCAGGTAATTTGGCCTCCTAGTTCTTAGAAAAGAACAATAATCAGGCTGGCACATTCCAAACCACCACCATGCCCGCATACCCCCCCACCAAATCCATAGATAGATCTTCAGCCCCACGCCGCCTTCCCTACCGCTGCAGTGAGAAAGGGTCTTCGCTTGCATGTCGGATTCCACCCCCTCCTGTCATCTCAGGCATCTGTCTCCTGTGTCTTCAACCCCTCCCTCTATATTTCCTCCTTCCATCAGCATTTAAACAAGTCTCTGTCATCTTACAGTCCACTCTCCTTCAATCCCGCATCCTGGTAGCCAGTCCCGTTCCGTTCCATTCACCTTGGCTCTTCCCAGCCACTCTCCAGTTTGCTGAAAGAGTTAACACTCATGATCCCCACTTCCTCACGCTCTGCTCATTTGTCAGCCCATCACGCCCTGACCTCTGCTCCCACCGCTGCCCTGAGGGTTCTCGTTGCTAAATCCAGCGGATTCTTGGTTCAGATGCTTGTTCCTCTCTTACTTGACCTCTTAGAAGGATTTGACGCCGCTGAGTGCTCCCTCCTTACGACGTGTTCCCGCCTTGGCTCCTGTAACGTCATAACTTAGAACACCATGGCTACCCCTTCTCAGTGTCTGTTGTCCAGCTCTTAAATGTAGCTGTTCTATCAAAAACCTCATTTTCACTCAACATACTCTCTCAGGACCATCTCATCCGCTCCAGTGGCTTCAGTTGCCATCTGTCTTCGCATCCAAATTTTCCCAGACCTGTACCTCCAGGTTACGGTCTTGCTTATAAAATTCAGAATTGTTTACACAGCTGCCTACTGGTCACCTCCACTAAGATACCTCTTGGGCACCTTAAAATCAGCACTCCCGGCCCTGCCATTCCTCCTTATCACGGGAAGCATCTACCTGGCTCTCCAAGGCAGAAACCCTTAGACATTCATTGTCTTTGGCTCCTCTCTCTTTTGCAGACTTTATTATCTCCGGGCCATCACCAAGTCCAAAATTCTGGTAAGGTGGCAAGAACACAGGTTCTGGTTGAAATTCCAGTTCTAATTGTGGTTTGAACAAATTACTTCACCTTTTTCCAACTCAAGTTCCTCACCTGTGAAAAGGAAATAGTAATACCGAATTCACATGGCTGTGGTCATGGGGTACTTCTCTGGCGGTCCAGTAGTTAGGACCCCGCACTTTCACTGCCAAGGGCCCGGGTTCGACCCCTGGCCGGGGAACTAAGGTCCCACAAGCTGTGCGGCACGGCCCCAAGAAAACCCAAAAACGTAAAAACAAAAAAACAAAACAAAAAACCAAATGGTTGTGGTCAGGATAAAGGAAAGCCTTTACTTGGTAGGCTTTCAATAAATATGAGGGCTCTTCTGTCCCCATTTCCTCTCTCCCCATCTCCATCTGCTTACTCACCTTATTGTTGAATTGGTGTACATATAGTTTCTTGACCTTGAGAATCCCCCAGGAATGAAGTTTCCCATAATTCCTTCATGACTAAGGACAACAGCTTATATCTCGTCATGCTTCTCATAAAGACTTTGGAAAATGCAAAAAAAGTAAAGCAATCACTGTTGCCATTTTGATATCGTTCCAGTCTTCTATGCGTTCTTTGTTCTTTTCTTAATGTAGTTTTTTTCCTATATAATTGAGTACACATCCTGCTGCTTTTCATCTAATCCAGATACTTTCCCAGGTTAACAAAAGTTCTTCATAAACAGTTTAATGGCTGCCTGCTATTCTGCATGTGACTACAGTATGGTTTATTTAACTATTTTGCTATTGTTGGTTTTTTAGAGTCTTTCCAGTAAATAATACTGAGGTAAACAGTTTTGCAAAAAAAACCCCACTTTTCCTCCTACGTTTATAATAATTTTTCTAAGCCATAAATTCATAACTTGAATCGCTGAATTGAAGGATTTGAAAATTTCTAAGCAGTGCAGTCTGAAGTGGACTAAATGAATATAGGCCTTACCTTAACTACAAAGAGGGAAGTAAAGAAAAAAGTGTTGTAATTAACAGATATTTTTGAATAATTGTTTTCTGTTTTACTGAAAGAGGGCTTGGAAGATCCAAGCAGTGCTCTGTGGGGAAAACATGCCTTTGACTTGAAGTTCCTGGGTCCATGATGGTAAAGGAGGGCTTGTTTCTGTTTTTGTGTTTTCATCTGGGTCAGTGAGAGGACAGGCCATTCCTACAAGCTCGTTTCCCTCTAAGGAAGAGAAAAATCATCCAGCATCTAATGATGCAGATCATTAGTTGTGTCAACAGCCTTGCAGTTAAAAAAAAAAAAAGTTGCAACAATGTATCCTCCTAACGTGCAGTTAATTTTAGTTAAAACTTCCCTGGTGATTTTCATTTCTTAATTTAATTTAACTTATTATTAGTTTGTTTGGCCTCGCGGTGCAGCTTGAAGGATCGTAGTTCCCCAACCAGGGATTGAACCCGGGCCACCACAGTGAAAGCACCAAGTCCTAACCACTGGACCACCAGGGAATTCCGTCCCTGGTGATTTTTAAACCCGGTGAATTTGTAAATCTAGTAAATGGCCCTGCATTTGGAAACGTTAGAGCTGCCATAGCCAACTGGGCTCTAGCAAGACACACACAACTCACTGAGCTCGGGCTTCCCAGCAACGCCCGAGCGCTCCCCTCAGAATCCAGAGGTTTTTTTTTTTTACATCTTTATTGGAGTATAATTGCTTTACAGTGGTGTGCTAGTTTCTGCTTTATAACAAAGTGAGTCAGTTATACATATACATATGTTCCCATATCTCTTCCCTCTTGCGTCTCCCTCCCTCCCCCCCCCCCCCCCTATCCCACCCCTCCAGGTGGTCACAGAGCACCGAGCTGATCTCCCTGTGCTGTGCGGCTGCTTCCCACTAGCTATCTCCCTTACGTTTGGTAGTGTATACATGTCCATGCCTCTCTCTCGCTTTGTCACAGCTTACCCTCCCCCCTCCCCACATCCTCAAGTCCATTCTCTAGTAGGTCTGTGTCTTAAATACTGTATGCTAACACATATGTATGGAATTTAAGAAAAAAAAAATGTCATGAAGAACCTAGGGGTAAGACAGAATCCAGAGCTTATTACCAGATTCCTTGTTCCTGACCTTCCCTAATCAGGAAAAGCTACTGAGTGCCTCAAAGTTAACATGTCCAGGACTTCCCTGGCGGTCCAGTGATTAGGACGCTCTGCTCCCATTGCAGGGTTGCAGGGGGCACGGGCTCGATCCCTGGTCAGGGAAGATCCCACATGCCTCGTGGCACAGCCAAAAAAATGTTAACATGTCCAGAACCAGACTTTGGACTCTCTACCCATCCCCGCATTCAGTCTTCTCACTCAGCAATGAAACCACCACCTGCCTGGTTGTTTAAATCAAAAACTTGAACCATCCTTGATTTCTTCTTTTCTGTCCTCACCACTCCCCAACACCAAATCCATCAGCATATTCTGCCGATTCTACTTCTAAAAATTTACTTGAGATCTCAAATTGTCCATTTCTCTCCATCTTGCCCGACTGCCCTCTCATCCCAGCCCGCATCACTGCTCACCTGCACTACTCGGTAGCCTCCCACGGGGCTCCTACTTCTGCTCTCTCCTCTACAATCTTTTCTCTATGCAGTAGCTAGAGGGATCCTGCTAAAACTTAACTTTGGTAATGTCACACACCCGCTTCTTAAAACATGTCAGAGGCTTCGCTTTGCTAGTAAGGTAAAGGCCAAAAACTCTAACATGGCTGAGAAGGTCCTGTGTACCCTGCCCTGGCCTTCCTCTCCAGCATCGTTGCCCACCATTTCCCCATACACATCCTTCAGTTCCTGCAACTCCTGCACCGAGGGCTCTATACATGTTATGTTCTCTGCTGAGGAGGACCCTCTTCTCTCCCCATCCATCCTTTCCACAGTCTAGGTAACCCCTTCTTCCCACTTTCCCAGTCTAGGTCAGGTTATTTACTTCTATAGAAACATGGGAGGTTTTTTCCTTCTTTAGAGAACCTATTTCAAAGTTTCATATATATAAAAAAAGTTTTTCCATTCATCAGCATAATTATGTGATTGATGCCTGTCTCCTCTACTAGACCATAAGATCCTCTCTGCTTACTGTTCACTGTTCTTTCCCCATCAGCTAGCTCAGTGTCTGGCACAAAGTAGGTGCTTAATAAAAAAAATTGGTTGCACGCTAACTGAAGAAGTCAAGTCCTGGTAACAGTCCTCCTTGACAACAGTGTCCCCGTAAGGTGCGGGCTCTTCCCAGAGCGGGCAGACCCGGGTTCTCCACAACACATCATCTTGAGGGAGTGTGATTTCGCTCGTCTTGCTGTTGTTGCTTTTCATTTCAGCTGTCAGAATGAATAGAGCATGCTACCTGAAACTTACTTGTTTTTCTCTTCTCTCCTTATTCAGTTAAAGCTTGCTTTTACTCTGGACCACAAGACAGGATTGCCTCAAGGATGTCACGTCTACGAGTACCGTGACAGCAACAAGTAAGTCACTCTGTGGGAAAGAGTGTCAGCTCACCATGTCCTGCAGAGGTAGCACCCATAGCCTTCCTTACACTGGGCTTTCCCGACAAAGGGATTGTCAGGGAGGGAATCACACTTTTTGTGACTGTACTAGAAAATAGCTGGCACAAAAATGTTTCTCCTGTAAAATCTCTTTTGCCCTTCAATATAGGACTTGGAATACTTGTGTAGGAGCAGGTGTAATGTATTAGAAGTCTATTTCAAAGCAAAGCCTCCTTTCCAGGCTCCAGCTCCTCTAGATACTCCCCTACCCACTTCATCTCCAATCATGCACTTGCTAATTGGGTTCACGGTGTGACTTTGGCTTTTGTTGTCATTCAGTCTGACTCAACTATGTTTATGGGTTTGTTGTGATACTCCACCTTGTGAATTTTTCTTTCTTTCTTTCTTTAAAAAAGGTTTTTAAATTATTAAAATATTTTTTATTGGAGTGTAGTTGACTTACAATGTTGTGTTATTTTCAGGTGTACAGTAAAGTGAATCAGTTACACATATACATATATTCACTCCTTTTTTAGATTCTTTTCCCATATAGGTCATTACAGAGTATTGAGTAGAGTTCCCTGTGCTATACAGCAGGTCCTTATTAGTTATCTGTTTTATATATAGTAGTGTGTATATGTCAATCCCGACCTCCCAGTTTATCCCTCGCCGCCCCCTTACCTTGGGGATTTTAGAGTCAGGGTACTTCTGGGTGCTTACAGAGGTTTAAGTTGGGGCCTTATTAGAAAGGTGGCGCCTGGCATAGTTTTATACACCTCTTCTCTTCATCACGGACTGCCTCCTTGACTGTGTATTTTTGTCTGTGGGCCAGTGAAAGTGGTGGTGAGTGAGATAAAGGGCGTGTGCCCTGATGATGACAAGGACTGATGAATGGTGAGGGCAGCTTACCCTTGGGCTGCTACTGTGTGTTAGGCACAGTCCAGGGACAGTACGTTTGTTATCCCACTTAATTCTCATGGTAACCTGAAGAGTTTTCTTTTATTGTTGTTGTACTTGCAGAAGCTGAGGTCTAGGGAATGTATGTAACTTGTTCAAGGTCACTTGCCACAGCTGTGTGAGGCAGTGTCAGCATTATCACATTAATTCGGGGAAGAAAATAGATGAAAGGCAATTGATGTCCCAAGTTGCTACTTTTGGAAACCTCATTGATGACAAGAATAGTCCCAACGGACTCAAGGACTAATTGTTTGAATATCCAACTGTTTAATTTTATCCAGTGGAAGGATCAAATAGGCACAGGCCAGTGGAATCATACATTACCTTCCAGAAGAGAAACTCGCGTTTTCTTCAAGAGCTCATGCTCTGTTATGGGTGGAAGATGGGTTACTGTGTGCCTTTGTGACCAAATTTCCATTCGGATTACTTTCAAGGCATTATTCCCCTTTGTAATTTATCTTTAGGAGGATGCTATCGTCAGCTATCGTGTACCCTCAATTCCCACCAAGTTAATCATTCAGAAAAGGTTGACCAAGCATCTTTTAACACCATCATTCCTCCTCTTGGATGGCACTGTTTCTGGAAGACAGTTACAGGATTTCTAGGCCATTGTGTCAGAGATACAATCTCAGCTTCTGATAATGCTTAGTTCAGTACAGAAGTAGGGCTAGACTTCTCTGGGGTCAGGACTGACGGGGACAGGTGAGCGAGTCCCTTGGTGGCAGGGGCAAGCATTGTTAGGGAGTGAGAGAATTGTAAGCGATAAGCCCTCCTTGTCAGCGCTGCCCTGAGCTCCCTGATGCTTGCTGGATGGCCGTGGATGGCAGCCCGTCACACGACAGATTGTGGCCGCAGAAACACAGTGGTGTCAGGCTCAGGGGTGTTTACATACTCCAGTTCTGGCCTGACTCTCTGCTCTTTGGAAATAAGGTTGGCAGAGTTTTCGTTCAGTGGGAGAAGGGCACCAGCTTTAAGTTCATGTCTGAGCAGTTCAGAGGTCCGGTGACAACAACTTACGTTGTCTTTAAAACCGATCGGAGAAAATAGCCTAACTCTGTTTCTTGGCCTAATTCCCAACTCCTAGCATATTATCAGAATAAGCAATGTAGGAGATAATGTAGGAGTTGTAAGTATTGATAAACTTTGGACCAAAGACCTGTAAAAGAAAGCCTTTGTGTAGGAAGCTGGGTAGGAGCCATGGTCTCGGAAAGTGTGACTATCAGATACCCCAGTGGTGTGTCGTCCCCCCCCCCCCCCCCCCCCCGTTCTCTCTTGCTAGAGGCAGCCTTGGAGTTTATTCTCAACCCGTGGACAAGTTTTCTAACCTCCCGGAGCCTCAGGTTTCTTCTTCTGTTAAGAACAATGGGACTAATGATAACTCTTCTGGCATGATTGTCATGGGGATTGAACGGGAAGACATTGCCGCCGGCCTAGCACGTAGAATGCCCACAGTAAATGTTGACTGCCTCTCCTGAAAAATCGTCTCAGAAAAATCCTCATGACTTCGCTTCTATTTTCCCAGTGCCAGCAGGGCTGCATCCGTGCACCGTGGCCGCAGCTGGCAGAGTTTTGGGTAGGGAAGAGGCTGGTGCACGGTCCTCAGACAGCCCTCAGCTGTGAGCGCTCTGTCCAAAGGCAGCCTCCCCTCCCCACTGTGAACTGTGAAGTCAAGCATGGAGAACCCCATGAGCTTGCCTGCGACTTTCTCCTCTCTCCCAGGCTCTGCCCTGTGTTCCTCTGTTTACTTTTAGGGACAGTTCCCTCGACTACCTGAATCTCAACATTGGTGTTTAGGAAATGAGGAGATTCCAGCCCAGGCCCTAAGGGGCCCATGTTGTCTCAGCCAAGTTACATGAAGGCAACGGCAGCAGAGAGATGAGGTTCTACATATAAAAGAAATTAGCTGAATATTAGTTTGGTACATGTAATAATTGAAACTACCGCTTTTATCTGGGTATTCTCTGCAGCATAATTTGTAATCATTTTCGTATTTATCCCTGCCAAATTCAGTCCATCAGCAAAGAAGTTTTTCTGAGTAAGTACTGTGGCGCTCGGTAGTTCTCCCCAGTGGCCTTTTCCTATTAAATGGAGTAGTCCTGAAAGTAGGCACTCCGCTTTTATACTTCCTGGACTCTCGTGCCAGCTTCCTTTCCTGGAATATCCTAGTAGCCCCGATCCGTGACTCTGTGTCATCCCGTTCTTCTCCGTCAAGAAGCTCGTTTAGCCTCTGTGCTCCAGGGAGGACAGGCCCTGGGACTTGTCCATCTCTGGTGGGACTTAGACCCTGGAGGGCACGGCTCTCAGGTAAGCATTCTTAAAGCTCTGAGGTCATTAGGGGAAAGAAGCTGAGGCACCTGTTGTGCCTCAGGTTAGATTAGTAAAGCTCCTCTCCTTGAATTATTCTGCCAGCCTCCCAAACACTGTTCAAATCTGCATCTAAGAGGTGTGAGGCTCCAGCCTCCCCACCACCCTGACAGGTACTGCCAGTTGCAACCCACAGACCTGGGGGCCACCTTCTTTTTCTCTGTTGCAGAAACTTCACCTGCCTTTAATATGCATGTTAAATCCAGTGAATCCAGAACTGATTGAAAGTCATGTTTTTCCAGTTAGGGCTTGGAGGTCTCTTCAGAGAGCAAAGAACAGGCCTAAAAGTGTGAACAAGTGATTCATGAGAATTCAGTTCAACATTTATTAAGCCCCTACTCCACACAATGTATTGTGCGAGGCACTAGGGAGACAGAGATAAATGGGGCCTGGTCTGTGACCTCAAGGAGTTTGTGTAAATAGAAGAAGGCACTGCAGCACCCTCCAGGGTGTGCTTCAGCGGTAAGAGTTGAGAGCCGTGGGAGCAGTACTGAGGCCAGTGACTGCTTCTGACTTGGGAGCAACTCTGTGGATGGTGGCACCCTGCACAGACAAGCAGCTTTGTCCACAGTACTCCCCACCGTCCTCCTCTTCACGGCCAGGACGGCCGAGCTCCTGTGCAAAATGCCCTCCCTGCCTTTAGCTCTTTCACCTCCAGCGCGTCCACTCTGCAGCCTGAGGGAGCTTTACGTGCCTTTTCATTCTGGTTGCTTTTGCGACGTTACTTTTGTCTTCGATGTTCTGCCATTTTACTACGTTACGTCTAAGAGTAGATTCATCTGTACAGCTTAGGACTCAGTGTAGTTCTTCCCATTTTGAAATTATCTATTTTCTGTTTTATTCTCCCTAATCTGTTCTTTTGGAGCTCCTGTTAGAAACCTACCACCTTATTCTTTCTCTTTTTCCTCCTCCTTTTCTGCCAGTGCTGCATTGTGGGGCACGTCCTCAAAAATGTCTGTCAGTTTACTGGTCTCCTTATAGCTGTTTATAATCTGCTCTTGGATACCCCTTCCTGATTTGGGTGTTTAGTTTTAATTTTTAGAAGTTCCGTTGGGAGCTTTTTAAAATCAGCCCATTATTTTTTTTTACTGTTCGTTTTTTCCTGTCCTAGTTTTTCACTATGATTTCTATTCCTTTCATCTCTTCCAGTTATTTTGATTACACTCATTTTATAGCCTCTTTCTGATTGTTCGCTTATTTCTAGTTCTAAGGGTACCAGTTCTCCCATATGTAGTCTCTATTGACTTGCCTTTATGGCGGTTCATTTTTTCACACGGTTTGTTCTTTTTTATCAGGAGATTGTCTTAAGCAGGGATTGTGTTCACTGTGAGAGTCCCATATGCCCCCGGTTGTGGATGCATTCTTTCATTGCTTTTGCCATTATTCTGCCATGATCCTGGGAGTTCCGTAGGTCTTTTGCCAGTTTGGTGTTAACCTCTTGGCTTAGGATTCCCAGAACCCGGGTAGTGTGCATTCAGCCTCGACACACACATGCGGTACAGGCTTGGGATCCCATCCCACAAAGGAGCGCCTCCCCTCCGCGCCATATACAGACATTCCTCTGGGCTGTGAGAAAGGTCTTCCTGGTCCCTGTTCAAAGACCAGCAGCCCTTCCTGGATCCTGGCTTTCTGCAGGGCTCTCAGCTCCAGTTCCCGGC